AGCCCTTTATATACATAGGCTCTGGCATCAGATAGATTTAGATAAGAAATCTGATTTACCACATCTAGCTGTGTGACTGAAAAAAAATAAAAAGAGTAAAAAAGTAAAGATGTTACTTTGAGGACTATTGGGTGCCTGATCCAAGCCATGGTATTTTCAATTACCTCATATGTATGCAAAAGCTGGAATAAAGAAGGAAGACAGAAGAAGAATTGGTTAAGAACTGTCTTGAATCATGGGGTTGGTTGTGAAGAATATTGAATATACCATAGACTGCCAGAAGAATGAACAAACTGATTTGGAAGAAGTACAGTCAGAATGCTCCTTCGAAGTGAGGATGGTGAGACTTTGTCTCATGTGCTTTGGTCATGTTACCAGGAGGGACCAGTCCCTGGAGAAGGACATCATGCTTGGTGAAGTAGGAAGTTAGCGAAAAAAAGGAAGACCCTCAAGGAGATGGATTGACAACTATGGGCTCAAACACAGCAATGATTATGAGGATAATGCAGGACCGGGCAGTGTTCTGTTCTGTTGTACACAGGGTTGCTGTGAGTTGGGATCTACTCGACAGCACCTAACAACAAGCTGTATGATACTGTTCAGATAAATTACCTTCCCTGAACCTCAGCTTCCTCATTTGTAAAATGCATACTGACACCAAGAGGGATTTTTGAGGATTAAAGGAGGTGAAGTAATAAGTCCTCAGCCTAACCAAAACAAACCAAACTCACTGCCATCGAGTTGAATCCAACTCATAGCGACCCCTCCTTGGGTTTCTGAGGCAGTATCACTACAGAAGTGGATCACCCAATCTTCCTTCCACGGAGTGGCTGGTGGGTTTGAACCACCAGCCTTCTGGTTAGCAGTCAAATGCCTTAGGCACTACGCTACCAGAGCTCCCAGTACTCAGCCTGATGCCTAGCAAAAGGGTGCCCCCAAAAGGGGTTGTTATCATAATTATTGCTTCCAAAATTCCATCTATATCTCACCACAAACCAAACAACTTCATTTTTCTCAGGTTTTGTCTCATTAATTTCAACACAGCTCCCTTTATGACATCTTCAACTCAAATGAAATGTAAGGTTCCTATTTTGGTCTAATTATTAATAGCCCCTGTATATCCTTTTCCATTTAGATTCTTACACTTAGACTCTGACTTACTTTTAAGCATTTTTATGTTGCTTTTATTTGTCTTCTACTAACCCTGTCTCCAAGATTTGCATTATGTTACCCACATGGAAAAGAACTCAAATCCTATCCCAAGCATTAGTGCCTTAATCCCACAAACTCTGTCATACTGCTCTTGTTCCTGAGGCTTTCTTTTTCCTTTTACCCAGAGATAATCAGATGGAAACCACTGCTAGTTTTTCCTTTAGTACTTATTACCACAACTTTAAAAATTCATTTATATTCAGGTAATTTAATTAGTTATTGAATCTTCTATGTCCATCTCAGTCTCATGTACCTATGTACACATATACACTTTACACACACCTACATACTCTCCCTTTGTAAAAAATTCAGGTAAGTATGAACTAGTATAACTCACTGTTCACAAAGAATGGTAAGTTCCACACATTTATCACAACTATACTGAGGGGTGATATTAAAAATCTTTAACAATCATAATGTCCAGAGAACAGGGCACATCTATGGATCAGAGTCCCGAAGACCCTCTCCTGAGTCAGATGTTAACCTTTTGATTGCTGGAGGCACAAGAAAGTCCAGTGGAAGGCTCAACATGGACAGGGCAACAGGGACTTTGGAATAGCAGATATTCATCAAATATTATGAAATATTCAACTATTTTAATGTCCAGCATAGTTGTACTGGTAAAAAGCTCCTGAATATCAGTCCTGCTTATACTACCTGCTGCTGAGATAAGCCTTCAGGCATTGGCGTCATGATGGCTTCTGGGTGCTTGCAGTCAACATCAATAAATAAATTTTGCTCTTCTTCAAGACAAGATCTGTGATCTTAAAAAAAAAGTTAAAATGCACTCGTTTTAAGTTGAAATAACATATTTATAACATAGCATAGTAAAATAAGATGTCAAATAAATGCTTTGTGTAGAAATTTCAACTTTACATATTTATTTTCTACTTACAGACTATTAAATTGAAATTTTAACAAATCGAATAAAATATCCTTTCCACAAGAGTAATGTGGTGTTTTTCAACACTTAAATTTTTTCAATGCATGAAAGAGAATTTCAAAGTGCAGTAGTGTCATTGGAATAGCAATAAATATTTTCCTAATCTATAAAATATCACTATCAAAAGCAAAGAATGGCTTTTAA